GGCATGCACTGACACGCACACATGTGCAGCAGAGACCCAAAGACCAGCTGGCCAGCGGGAGGGGGGGAATTTCAAAACTGCAGGATTGCAAAAGGTAAAAAGGCTATTCTTTTGTGAGCATCTGCTTCATCATTTGCAGGGAAACAGAAGCTCATGAAAGAAACACCACGGAGAACTGACCTGGGACAATGGAGCGCTTGCCAGCAGAGAGAGCCCTATGTGCCACCTCTGGCACACGTGCCATAGGTTCACCATCACGTACCTAGACAGTTGCTTTAGAGCTAGGCACTAGTCCTTAAGCAAGAAAAGTAGGCCAGCATAAAATGTGCTACCCCAATTCCTGAGGCTTATTTTGCCTCAGTACAGTAATTAGGCCAGAGTCTGGTGCCATCATTACTTTCTTGACATGGGGCAAATTAAGGAAAGCAATTACTGGAATCCCTCCAGTATTGTTTCTTCTCTTGCCAAGCATGGACTATTAGTGGAAGAAACATTACCACTACTCTCTTTAATCCAGTGTGCAGCAGTAGGCTTGGAATGGATGTTACCTGTCAAATTGTCTCTAACTTATAATATATGCAAGCTATTCCATGTCTGTGACCACTTATCAGTGTAATATATCATGGATCAATATATCAATATAATACATCATGGATGAATTTCCATAGTTAAAACGATTCATAACGTTGAGCTGGAAAAAGTGCTCATCAGGAAATTTGTAACTTTAACTTTACTCTAAGTAAATGCAACCGATTTCACTAGTAGTTGCTGAAATGCAACTGCTCAAGGGTGACTGACTCCTGTCATTGGAAGCCAGGTGTCATACAATCTCGCAATAATTTGCTTCCATTTGCATAATTTTAGGTATACTTCCATGAAGACATGTTTCACCGAAAAAATACTTAGTTTAATAAAACGCGCGCATAACTGTACTATTCTAAATTCAGGTTGCTCGAGTGGAGACTGTTTTATTTAGCAAATTATTCTGCGGGACAATAAAGCTAAAAGCCAAGCCAAGCGAACGGGACGGGTTCAAAAATACCAGCGATCTAACGCGGCGGTTTCTCCTTGCATTCTTCTTCTATAAAGTTCCTACAGAAGAAGAGGCGGCGAACTCAATGAATAACTTTCAAAGTATTTACTTTACGACCGGATTGGAGATTGTATTTCAGGAATCACGAACTTTACCCTCCACTTTACGGTGAGCCTGGAGGACCAGGCAATTTGGAACTCACACCTCGGTACTTATGAACCGTACTAACTATTCGTCATCCTCCAGAGAGGATTGTACTCCTTGGCAATACCGTAAGGTAAAGAAACGGTGCAAAAGTGCAATTTCCCCGATTCTCTAGCTGTCATTTTGCGACACTTAAGATGGCTGCCTCCATGAGATTAGCGTGCCGCTTCGGTACCGGGAAGGCTACTTAGAGCAGAGTTTCCACCCCCACCCACCGACTTTAAGGAGTTTATAAAGCGGGAGTAGTGCTCCTTCTCCTCCGTGGTCGGACGAAGAAGATTGCAAAAAGGGGCGGGGCAGAAGCGGAAAGGCGCGCATAAATACGAGCGGAGAAGCAGCAAAAACTATTGGTAGTGAAAGGTTGGAGGACTTGGAGCAGGACTTGATACAGATGATCAGGCCTGTAGCGGATTCTTGCTTGTTTGTTGCACAGATACAATTCGGGGACGGACAAGTGGCAGCAAGAGCCGCGTGGGTGACTTCGGCTTTCTGGAAGTGATGCTGCGCCCCGTGTTGCTGTCGCCTTGTGTTAAAAGTTGCTCCCGGATACTTGCCCAGTTCTGGGCTGAAGGATGTGGAAAGCCCAGGCAGCTTTCTTCGGCTTCCTATTGGAGCAAAGTGGTTTCGGAGGCCGAGAAAATCGTGGGCTACCCGACCTCTTTCATGAGCCTGCGGTGTCTCTTGAGCGACGAGCTGAGCAATATCGCCATGCAGATTCGCAAATTGGTGGGAACCAACCACCCGTTGCTTAACACGGCCAGGTGAGTGTTCAACTGGTCTTTGTTGGCCAGCACATTTCTAGTAAGCCTTTGAAGTCTTGCCAGGAGTTCTTGTTACACCCAAAGGCTCATATTCCCCTCCCCCGACTTCTATTAACATTCTGATCTTGCTCTTCCATAATTAGAACTCTTCTGCTGTCCAAAACTTCTTGTATTTCTTTGACTGAATATATGATACTTCCTTGTTTGGAGTCTGAGTATTGGTCTACCTGTGTTGACTGAGTAAACACTGGCTGTCTGAAGTCATTTTAAATTAGAGTTGCTTGGAATTAAGTCTAGAGCAGATGCTATTGGTATGTTGCTTTTGAATGTCAAGCGTGTTTTAGAGCAAAGAGCATTTAAGATATGCTAAGTTCTAAGAAGTATGCTAAGAAGATTACAGTCTGGTGTAGAAGTTCATAGGGAATTAGTTTCATCAAGATTTTTTTGCTAGAGATTTATACTTTTGTGGCCTCTCTGAAAAAAAATCAAGAACGTTGCTAACTATGGATTGTTTAGAATGGATTGTTTAGAGTTGGCTTAATGTGTTTTTTTACTATTGGAACTGCATTATGATCATACTGTTAGTTTGCGTGTAGTATATTATTTACACTGACTCATCTTTTCTACCTTTCTGTTTATTCCTTTATGAAATAGATGGGATCATGCTTTCTTTTACTTACAATGGATTTCTAATAATGCTGAGATAAATAGTTTGGGGCAACTACAGGTGGTCTTCAACTCTAGGACCATAATTGAACTAAAAATTGCTGTTGCTAAGTGAGACAGCTGTTAAATGTCCTATTTTATAAACTTTCTTGCCACCATTAAGTTAGTCACATGGTGGTTAAGTGAAACTGGATTCCCCATTGACTTTGCTTGTCAGAAAGTCACAAAAAGTGATCACATGACATTGGGACACTGCACTCATCTTGAATATGAGCGAGTTGCCAAATGCCCAGATTTTGATCCCATGACCATAGAGATGATGCATAGTCATAAGTCATAAGTCACTTTTTTCAGTGCTGCTGTCATTTGAATGGTCACTAAATGAATGATTGTAACTCAAGGACTACCTGTATGTTCCAAAAATAGGTCTGATGTTAGTGTTACTACATCATAAAGGAATTTATCAAAAGTACCTTTATAAAATAATCAGTAGAAATATAGGAACTAAGTACAGTGATTTCAAAAGACAGAAAAATAGCTGACACAGGTAAAATCATTTTATGAGGCTTTTAAAAACTATTAGTGTGCCAGATATTTTGACTTTTTATAGGCTTCAGTGGCACTTCTACACACTTGGATTAACTTGGAAGAACCATGAAACATAATATTGAGAGTACTTTGCTTCAGGGAATTGAATGTCTTGTTATTACCTTTGAATGTTGTGTCTTAGTGTTCTAAGGAACTTGATTTAAAGATATACCACTGTAAATTAAAACTATTTGATCTCAGTAATTTTTTAATGTAACAATTTTGAAAAAAATGTTTTGATTCAGTATAATTGATTAAAAAATAGCTGATGATCCAATTAATTTGTCCTTCCATTTCTTAACATATACTTCCTTTTGTCAGTTAAAATGGGTATGTATGTAAGCACCACATAATTCACTGTTGATTTCCCCCCCCCCCCAATTGTAATATCCTATGTGGAGAAGTGTCAAGTTCTCAGCCAGTAATGATTGAGGGCTAGTTATACAGATATTTTCAGGGTCTAATACAGTTAAGCAAAATAGTTGATAAAATTAAGAGAATGTAAACAGTTATTGAAGGGAACTAATTGTAAAGTGCTTGTTCCTCCCCCAGTGGTTGAATATTTTCTTTGTTGGTTTACAATTTTCCCATGTTTTTGGTAGGAGATGTTGAATGTGCTAGTATGGTTTTACATACCTTTACTTTTTAAAAGACTAGAATTCTTAAAATTCTTGAAATAATTAGCTTTCATTTTAAAAAGACAGTTATTGCGGTCTTAAACTTTTTTTAAAATGTAAGTTGTATAAGGTAATTAGTATGAATCACCTTCAGTTCTTTAAATGTTTCATCTATATATCTGTATACTATTATAATTAGATGAGAGCAGAACTATTATTGATTTGTCTATCTTTAAAAGTTAGAGGAATGTGGTGGCTCAGTGGCTAAGATGCTGAGTTTGTCGATCAGAAAGGTTGGCAGTTTGGAGGTTTGAATCCCTAGTGCCGCATAATGGAGTGAGCTCTTG